AAAGGCCTCGTGCTAGGTAGAGATGGGAATATACATATCAGGATTATTCCCCTGGGCGATGTGGGATGTCATAATCCACCCCACTTAGGGGTCCGACGTCCTCGTCGGCGCCCTCACAGTTTTGTTTCTGGGAACTCACACGAGAACTTCCCGATGGGTCACTCATCCTGGGAATGCTCTTGCGCGCTACTCGCTTAACTTCGGAGTTCCCATAGAACCCGAAGCCAATGAGCTCCCAAAAGGCATCATACTAAGTAGAGATGGGAATATACATATAAGGATCACTCCCTTGGGCGATGTAGGATGTCACAATCCACCCCCCTTAGGGGCCCGACGTCCTCGTCGGCACACCACGACTAGGGTTAGGCTCTGATACCAAATTGTCACATCCCGGCCTGGGGTGGATCACACTTCCCGGGCCCGCTCCACCACCGTAGCACGATATTGTCCGCTCTAGGCTTACCATTCCCTCACGGTTTTGTTTTTGGGAACTCACGAGCAACTTCCCAATGGGTCACCCATCATGGGATTGCTCTAGCCCTCTTCTCGCTTAACTTCAGAGTTCCTACGGAACCTGAAACCAGTGAGCTCCCAAAAGGCCTCGTGCTAGGTAGAGATGAGAATATACATATAAGGATCACTCCCCTGGGCGATGTGGGATGTCACATCTCGGCTGGGAGAATAGGGGTGGGCCCCCCTTTTATTTTGTTTAATTTAATTTTTTTGTTTAAATTGCTTTTTGATAATCAATTAATTTTTATGCCACGTCATCAAATATATGGGTCATGCATTCGCCACATCACCACTTAACGGTCAAATTAATGGTTTAACTAACGGATGTATGAAATTGCAACAAAATAAAAGTTTGTGTATGAAATTGAAATGTTTTAAAGATGTTTTATGCGGTTGCAATTGCACCCAAACCCGAGGGGGCAAAGTGTAATTTACCTTCTTTTTTTTTCTTCATATTTTGTCAAAGTATATCCAACTATAAAAAATCGTTTCATCATCTAACAATAAATTTTTTAATAATATATGAATTTAATATTTGATAAACACTGGATTCTCACATTATTAACTGACTAATTAATTAAAAAAAATTACTTCAACTAATTGTTTGCACGAATGACCCTTGAAGAATGACCTTAAAGATAAACGGTTCAAATAATCATATAAGATTGCAGAGGAAAGAGAATAAAATGGTAGCATTGCTAAACAAAAAATGTGATATAAAAAACATAGGCTAAATCTCCCTTTTGCTTATTATAGTTTACTCTAAGTTTCATTTTATGTTATCTAGCTTAGAATCTTCTTTTTTTTTTTTTTTTCCCTTTTGTTAAAAGGGTACCAACTGATGGCTTTGTGCAGTCCACTCTTTTTCGACAGGAAACGATAGCGTAGTATTTCATTAATCAACACAAACAATTACAAGGATGTCATTGGGTACATAATTCCAGTGACCAATAAATTGATTTGGAATGAATTTGCACAAACAGACAAATAATAGTAAACCCTTCGTAAACAACCACAAGCACAAACATACAATCGTCAAGCGCACAAGTACTACCAGTACAAATCTATCGCAATAAACGATAACCGCAATAGAGAGATACAGGCAGCCACAATGGTCATCATTGAATTGCGAGTCCACAAAAAGTCATCGCGTTAGAGCGAGACCACATCAAGTCATCGTTGATAGACGAGACTAACAACACATAACGCATAGAAGACCAAATTAGCCAAAGCAACAGCGCCACCACGGTGCACAAAAGATGAGTGGATCATAACTAGACAACATCGAGAAAGGATCCGTTGTGCAATTCATTACAGTGGGGGGGGGGTGAGGCACTCAGGCCTAGGTTACCTACAAATTTTGAACAGTGAGATGCCAGCTTCCACGCATCGAAAAACCATAAGAGCAGCAACAACAGATAGCGGAGCAGCCAAGTCCAAGACGCACAAGCCGAGCTGCATTAAGACGTATAAGCCAAGCCGCCAGGTCAAACCGAGCTGCACAAGCTGAGACACCAGATCTGAGAGCAAAAGCTTGTGCATCCATCGAAACCATCGAGGAAGGTGACACCACCATGGAAACGAGTTGACAAATAGGGATCCAACCCACTTGCAGCACAAATCTAAACCCCACAGCAAGAAAACGAGCACCAAATCAAAGAAATCTTGAAAAGGCATGGCTCAGGTCAGGGTATAGGGCATAGATCCATGAAAATCTACACCCAAAATGGTGGGAGAGAAGCAAGGGAGGGGAAAGAGTGCAGGTAAAGGCAGGGAATGAGTGGTCGACATGAGGTGGTGGGAAAAAACGAGTATGGCGAGGGGTGGAAGATGGCTGGGATGGGGAAAAAAGGGGAAGAGGAAGGGAGGAAGAGCCAGTAAAAGAAAGGGAGAGGCTGCCACCGACCCTCAGCCATAGCCAGAGGCTGGCGGCGATGGGGTAAACGGCTAGGGTTTGGTTGAGAAAGAGATAGAGCTTTTGGGGGAATCGAGAGAAAGACGATAAAGATAAAAAATTATTAGAGACCGTGCAGTCCACTCTTTTGAGGGTTGTGAAGATTCACAAAGACATTTCAGCCCTTCTCTAGCCACCATCTAGCTTCGAATCTTTTGATTGTGCCAAATTTTTAACACAATTCAAGGACATGTCTCGATTTAGGTTCATTTTCTTGGCATGGAGGGGAATTTCATTCATTTGAAGATGGATTAGCTGTATCTTCTTCTATCATAACTCTATTTTTAGAAAGTTATAATACAAATGGTTGAAATTCCTTTTCAAATATTTAACTACTCGTATTATGAAACATTGTACCGAATCGTGTTCCGTGCAAAATGAAAAATCTCTCCCAAACCATAGCTTTCTTTTGGATGATGGTGACATTTGCTACCTTCAAATTGGATTCTTGCACTCAATTAATAAACCTTAAGGCAAGTGGCCCTCTACCACAGTGGTAGAGAGAAATGTTGCCCTTGCATCACAGTATGAATTTAAACCCTGTCGACTTCCTAATCTAACATATAATCTAATAAATCTATCGTTTGACAAAAAAAATATTAACCTTCAGATTAGATGATGGTGACAATTAATTATCATTTTGTTTTAGGTTGTCGTAAGACTAATCTCAAAACAAACACTTACAAATGACTGGGTTTGGGTTTAGGGTTTAATGGGTTGGGCTTAAGGTTAAACGGGCCGAGGGTCTTAGTTGGCACGACCCGAAAGGCCTGGGTCTTTTTGGATTTGGGTCGTGGACCCTTTTTTCGTCGGGAAAGAAGGCCGAAACCTTTCGAGCTCCAGTCAACTCCGTCTTACCATTTTACCCTCCGATCTACCTATGAAAATGAACATAGAGACGAGGGGAAGAGATACACCGTGAAGTGGCGGAGTTGGCTGGATTTTGGGCTCAAACACCATGGGCTCTCCGGACTTGGGTTCTCGGTTTCTTTGTGTTTCACAGAGACAAAGGAAAGGGAGAGAAGATCCACCACTATGGTGGTGGTGCTGTCGTGTTTCCTTGAGTGTGGTTATTTGGGTGTGTGGGTGGGTGTATCACCAAGAAGCAGAGAAGAATGAGAGAGAAAGATCTGTGAGAGTGAGTGAGCTGAGATAAAGTTCGGGGGAAGGAAAGAGAAAAGGAAGGAGAGGGGTGAGGGTCTACCACGTGGCAGGCAGAGATAGGAGGAGAACTTGAGAGAATCCAAAAAGTAGATCTGGATTGGGAAAAGGATGGGGGCAAAATTGTAACTTCATAAATTTTAAAAACAAATGGGAAATTACAATTAATTTTTGGGGGTGGGGTTTCACATCACAATCCGTTAGGTGTAAATTTTATCGTAAGATGTCTCGGTCTTAGTTGAAATGAGATTTAGAATATTTAAGCTTTTCTTTTCTTAAAGATACGATTGTTGAAAGTTATTTCAACAATTACATGCACTTTAGACTTCGTCAATGGTCTCACCGTCCTCACCAAAAACCAATTGTCCCTACGTTTTCCAGTCACCTATCTTTAAGTGGAACAGGAGCAAAACTTTACTCGTTGCCTTTTATCATGATGCATCACAATATATATATATATATATATACACACACTAATTTTGAAATCACCAAAACTTTTACGAAATTATGTTTCTCAAAGAATTGCTCCAACTACCTCTTAATCAAAAAATATTTCTCTTCTCAATAATATAAGACCAAATAATAAAAATGCATAGTATTACATTCGCTTACATTTAAAAGAAGTCAAGAATCACTAATGTATTTAAGTTATCAATACGCACAAAAAAAGACATAAACGTACAAACATGTGTAGCCCCACTCTACATGGTACTGAGTGTGATTAAGAAGTTTTGTATTCAAGACTTGTGATAGGCGGCACAAGAAACAATAATGTAAATCAATCAACGATATCAACATTCACCAAACATTAGAACAACTTCTACTCTAATTAAACATTTAACACATAACATCGAATGCCATGTGCATAATCATGGCTAGAGGTCGATGAACAAAAGCACACATGGTAAAAGGCTACATATCTACTGTATACTATTTACATGAGGTCGGCAACGGGCAACGGGTGTTCCCATGTACGATACACCGAATGAGGCTAGAGTCGCTAGAGCCTAGAGAGAGAAAAGAAATCTCTTGGCGACGTCGAGGCGACCGGGCAACGATGTAACCGGTTGCTAAAACAATAGGAAAAATGTTAAATTATATGTTCCCATGCTTTTAAAATGGGTCTGAAATGTTACCTCACACGTCCTCTCACCTCCCTCTCTCACCTCCCTCTCTTTCTCTCTCCTCGCTCTGAGTGCCTATGATATTATATATCCTATGACTCTATGACTCTATGGCTTATGGTTACGGAATCACAGCACACACAGCTCAAACGACGCCGTTGAGATTTCCACTCTCAACCACCCCTCGCCGCCGACTAAATGCAAATTACTAACTCACTGGCTTAGGAATCGACGACGTTTCCAGCCTCTTGCTTTGCTTTCTCCCGCGATCGCCGACGCACCGTCTAGTCTATGTATATTTCACGTTTGAGCTCCGTTCGTGTGCTTCTCGGTGTATTGTAGTGGTGTCTGATTCGGTTGATCACCGCCGTCCGGCTAGATCCGGTGATCGACGGTCATCTGAGTGGGGAGAGCTGAAAGTGTAGGAGCCGGAGCTGAATTTGGAAAAAAGGAGCTATGTTGGATCTTAATCTGAACGTTGTCGTTTCGGGGCAAAACGACGTCCAATCGTGCGGCACCCAAATGGACGAGTCGGGGACGTCCAACTCGTCCGTTGTCAATGCCGACGCGTCCAGCACCAACGACGACTCGTGCTCCGCACGCGCCGCCAGAAATGACGCCGTCACGATCTTCAACTTCGGTATTCTCAAGGTCAGGGACGGAGAAGAAGAGGAAGACGACGACGTCGTCGTGACCAAGGAACTGTTTCCGGTCACTGGAGGCTTGAACAATTGGCCAGGGCAGGGGGAGTCCTCTTCATCATCGCCGTTGGTGAGGAAGAATCTGATGGAGCTTGGGTTCACTCGTGGCAGCGCCGGAGAGGTCAGGTTGGTTCAACAGAAGCAACCACCACAACCAGCTGCGCCGCCGCCGCAGCAGCAGGCGAAGAAGAGCAGGAGAGGACCCAGGTCTCGGAGCTCTCAGTACAGAGGGGTCACCTTCTACAGAAGAACTGGTAGATGGGAATCGCACATTTGGTTAGTCCAGTTTTGATTTACTCAATTTGGGTTTACTAAGTTTGATTTAATTTTTTATGGGTTATTCTCGTTTGAGTGAATTTTTTGAATTTGAATGCAAGATTCAGGTGCATCCGTCCCAATTTGGTATTAATCCGATTTATTAATTTTTGATTGGGTGCAGGGACTGTGGGAAACAAGTGTATTTGGGTATGGATTTTTGACCTTGTCTATTTGATTGACTTGGATTAGTGTTAATTAATCTAATTATTTGTCAAGATTTACTATTTGGAAAATTTTTGATGAAAATTAAGTGTTGGGTTTTGACATATAGGTGGATTTGACACTGCTCATGCTGCGGCTAGGTAAAAAGACTTACTCCGTTATTTTGCTTGGATTTTCATACTGTTTGGGAATTTAGATAATTTGATTATTGTGGGAACTGTATGTACTATTGTTCTTAAATTGGGTTTGCTGAATTTAGAGCCTACGACCGCGCTGCGATTAAGTTCAGAGGAGTTGATGCTGATATCAATTACAACCTCAGTGATTATGAGGATGATCTGAAACAGGTTGGAAGATGCATATGTTTCTTCGTTAACCTAATTTTGATTAATTTGTAATGGGGAGTGGGATCGGGTTTTAATCTTTGTTTTTTCTTTTTTCTAATGAATGAGCAGATGAAGAATTTGACTAAGGAAGAATTCGTGCACATACTGCGTCGGCAGAGTACTGGCTTCTCGAGGGGCAGCTCCAGATATAGAGGGGTTACACTCCACAAATGTGGTCGATGGGAAGCTCGAATGGGACAGTTCCTCGGAAAAAAGTGAGGAATTATTTTTGTGGAGTTTTCAATTTTGTACTGTATGGTTTGGGTGTAACCCACATAATCATAGTTGGCTTGGTTTCGAACTTTGAACTGAGAATTGATTTTGGATTAATTCTCAATCTGTTTTCAGTCTTCTCTTTTCGTTGTCTGAAAAACAAGTCCTAGTGCGTATTTCTAAGAAAAAAATAAATGTTGTGGGGACGGTGGTTTCATCATGGAGGTTACAATGCTTGCATGCAGGTATATATATCTTGGGCTATTCGACAGCGAAGTAGAAGCTGCAAGGTCCTAATGTCATGAATTACACTCTACCTGATTGAATTTATTACCCTGAATTCTGAACCTCATTAGGGTTCCATCCAACACATCTCTCCCTTTTGATTTTTCTCGAAATTAGGGCTTATGACAAGACAGCAATCAAATATAATGGAAGGGAAGCGGTCACCAACTTTGAGCCAAGCACATATGAAGGGAAGATGATGTCTGAGGCTGGTAATGAAGGTATAGTTTTACAAATAATTTTCTAGTTGAGTTATTGCCGTCAGAAAAAAGTTCAAGAAATTTGTCTTCATAGGATTGTACTTGATTTTTTTGGTTCCTACAATGCAGATGGCAATCACAATCTTGATCTAAATTTGGGGATATCTCCCCCCTCATTTGGCACGGGTCAAAAGGAAGGCGAAGGGCGACTTCAGTTCCACTCTGGCCCTTTTGACGTGCACAATGGAAAAAGGGTAACGTATAATCAGTTTGATACATCAGTTCCTTTAGATATAGTTTCATCTTGAGAAGCCCCAAGTTTCGTAAAGTTCTTGAAGGGGTGGCCCTCTTGAAGGTTTTCCTAATATTTTGGCTGGAAGGTTTTTAAGGTTTCAGACAGTAAAATATCATGTTGCTGATCTTAACATTTTTGAAACTCACTTATATGACCTTGGAAAGTGAAAGAGGAGCTAATATAGAGTTCATCTGTGGTCTTTTCTTTTTCGTAGCTGTCAAAATAAAATTAACGCGTTTCAGTCTCTTTCTCTCTCTCTCTCTCTCTCTCTCTCTCTCTCTCTCTCTCTCTCTGCTAAAACTGGACATTCTCTTCTGACTTTGCAGATGGAGCACAATGTGAACTTAACGATGAGTGATCCACCTTTTAAAGGGCTAGTAATGACATCAGATCACCATCCACCATTGTGGAACGGTGTATATCCTAGTTATTTTTCCAATCAGGTGAGTTTAAATGTGTGGTCTATAATGACACAACTTGAGTCCAATTCTCTTAGCTTTATGACTTTGTTTTAATCCTTGGACCCTACGAGTACCCTTTTTTCAATAACCATCGTAGTTCAACCTGTATGCACAATGTCATGGTGGTAGGTGAACATTACTTATGTAGTACCAGAGAACACAACTTTGTAGCTAAAGAGCTGTTAAAAAATAATAACATGGCTAGACTCATCCTGTTGTAACTATTCGTAGTTTCGTGGTTTATACAATATCGAAAACTTGGTATACTTACAAATGCTGAACTGTCTTAACTGGCGGTGTTGGAATAAGAATCAAAACTCTCTTTCATGCAAAGAATGCCTTTTCCGGTTTAGCTCTCGTTTATGTGAGGCATTGGAGGAAGTTGCATTTTGTAATTGTAAGGACTATGAAATCTTATAGTAAATTGGGGGAACGAGGATGAAGATTTTTCTGACATAAAATATTAGTATTTATTAACGAAAAAAATTTACTCTTGAATGATGAATCATTTATTTGTCAGGAAAACGCAACAGAGAAGAGCCTTGCATTAGGATCTCAAGGACACCCCAACTGGGCTTGGCAAATGCATGGACAGGTTACCCCAATGCCACTGTTCTCTACTGCAGCATCATCAGGATTCTCATTTTCAGCTAACGCTCCAGCCGCTGCTGTCCACCCCTTACAACCGCCAAACCCAACAGCCCTCAATCTCTGTTTTACTTCACCAGCCGCGGCCACCACTCGCACATCTCAATGAAGCACCACCAAGCGAAAGCCGCGGCAGACTTTCCCTCCGAATTCAGAAACCAACCATACCAACGGTGGCCTTCGGATTCTTTGTATGATCCAAATATAGATTGATACATACACTGCAACTCGATTTCGGACTCCTTTTCCTGTCGTTACCACACTCGGTTGGACATATCAGTACTGTTTTGTCGATTTGTATTTATTCTCAAGAAATATTTGTAACTAACTTGAGCTCTCATGTAAGAGCATCAAGTGGATAAGGTGGGATCTCATCTATCTAAAACTACTTTTGTTCAGAAAGAAATTGTTAATAGTCAGCTCTTTTAAGGTTGTTTTAGCATATGAGCCACAATTCTTGTGTCTCGCATTTGTTCACTTGTCGCCGGTTCGGCCCCACAAAACCTTGCGACACAAATTTTGCTAGGAACAATCGCTCACACGCTCCTGGAAAGTATGCGGGTGCAGTCAAAATACCGTTTGCGCCAAAAGCGTGATGAGTGTCTGTAGAAGTACAACTTAGTGGTAGTGCTGTACATAATGCTTGCCAGTGGGAAGAGGAACAAAATCGAGAGAAGGAATTGTTTTGTGATTGCTTTACAATGAAATCAAAGCTTGTGACAAAGTTGACATGAAACTTCAACGCACCTTTCTGTCGGAAAGATTGTCCTTTGCATCCTTTCAAAGACCAGAATCATATACTTGCTAAACTCTTTACAATTTAGAACAATGCTTCGTTACAAGTTGAGACGTATAAATCACAGTTAAATGTGTAAACAGAAAAGCAAATATTTGTCAAATTGTGATTTGATTGTAAGGATTGCAAGCTGTGATTTGCTTCTAGAAGTGGAGAAAAATTCATTCACCGAATCACCAGTTGTATGAAACGAGTGTCTTACTTGTGAATTTTTATCGTAAAAGTGACTATTTTTCAAATTGAGGTATACAAAATTCTATCCACACTAAATTCTATAAATCACTTGGTGTGTGTTTGGTAGGTGTAATCTTGAGTATGTAATATAATATTATTTAATTTACTCACTAAGCAAATATGTAGGATTCATGTGGCAGCTTCTTCTCAAGAATAAAGTTGATCATGAAAGGATAGTATCCTAATCGTATTAAATGCTTACACACTTTAAGTGCTTTTGGAATTCAAAATACTTTTTTTTTAAAGCGTTCTCAGTCATTTAAAAACACTTTCCAAACGAGCTCTAAACAGCTCATTTGTAGTCCAAAATGAATAAAATCTTCTATGATTAGTGACATTAGTCCAAAGAAAAGAGAAACCTTTTTTATTTGTTTTGCACTACAAAACATGGAAAAGAAAAATTAAAATTAAACTAAAAAGAAGAAATATAAGCATATAAGATGAGACCAATAATATGTTTTTGGATGACTTTTCAGCACAATAATTTGAAGGGGAAGACCCACGTCGATGTAGCCTTTTGAAGTTGTGACCGTGAGTGACACAAAGTGTTTCATCAAATCAGATGCCATTCTCCTTCATTAGAGTTTCATGTATTATCAGTCAAACCACACTTGTACAAACTCTCACTCATGACGCTAATGTGGTTGTCTGTGTATTCGGTCCATCTAAGTCCCTTGATGTATTTGTCATTGTCCATCTACTTTGATTGCTTTCATTTTTGGAAGTAGTTGTTAACTAGAACCTACCTAGGGAAATTGATAGGTTTGAAAGCTTCCCTACTCTATTATTAACGAACAGTTCCTGTTTACACTCTTCAATTCATCTCCTATTGAGTCTATAGAGGTGGCCCGGGGCTTGGCTGGTCCATGGCTTGATGGGGGGGTGGGGTGGGTGGGTGTGGAGCTGTTTGATTTGGATAGGTTGAACTTTATTAGTGCTTTTGAGACGTTGTGTTTGAGATGAGATGGAAGAAATTATACGGAACATGTTCAATGTCGCTGTGATGTTTCAACCCATAAAACACCGCTTGATGTCTCGGCTCCTAATATAATGTTATATATAAATTTCTCTTCACGTACTGTTGTACTGTTGTAATATAGTAGGACACCACGATGACAGTAAACCTATTTCATTTTAGTTTCTTTACCAATGACTTTCATAGCACTTTCATGTGTCATGAAAGTTGCTCTTTCTATGTATTGACATTGTAGATCTTGTTTATTCGATTGAGTTGTCTAGGAAGCCGAATTTATGCCTTTTCTTTGAAGGACGTACATACACGGGATACATTGTCATTGGTAGTGTCTCGGTCTAACAACACACAACGCTATGTGACACACGACATCGCAATAAGTTCTTCATTTTTTTTGTTGTCAAATACGTCGACATGTTAAACCAAACAAAACCATAAAAAATGTGAACATGTGAGTCGCATGAGAAGACAAAGAAAAGTGACTTTTAAAGCACCTGTAAAATTTGTATTCGATTTGAATGGCCACAACTGCAACTGTAGCCCCGTATACTTTGTGTTGTTGTATTATTTGTAAGTGTACTTTGCGTTGGAAGCCCTGCCTCCACTTGTACAAGATAAGTGGTGGAGGGTTGGTAGATCTTCCTCTCCCTTGCAACCACCAAAATTGGATTTCCAAAACTCATTACAATTTACATTTTAGGTCTAATATTCACAATTTGTTTTGGGCATGTTAAAGAATTTTTAGAAAGGCTAAAAATATTTTTTAATAATCAGAAGCGTGTTCTTTGGCACGAAAATTTAAAAAATAATAATAATATGAATTATTAAAATGCATTCAAAAAAGCACGTAAGTAGCATTTCGAACTACTTTTCTGAGAGACCCTTTTTGGAGAAGCACTTTCAATTGCTTTCCAAGATGCACTTGATTCTTTAATAAAAATTTCAATAATTTTCACGTTAAAGCACTTATAAGCATAAGTAATTCTTATACAAGTAATCACAAATAGACTCTTTAATATTAAGACTTAAGTGGATTAATGGTCTCTGTAGTGATAGGGTATTCGGAAATAGTCCTAGTGGAAAATTGTCAACAATCTTCACCACACACCACAAGGGTTTAAATCCTAACTTTTTTACTACAAGCGCTATCTTTCGAATACCCTATCACCAGCAGACCATTGATCTGATTTGGCATAATCTTAAGTCGTTATTACAACAAGCGTTGCCCTCCTAGTACACCTAAAATCGAATTCTCCTTCGGATAAATTAGACTTCAATATCTCTTTCCAAACCCGCCCACCCTTCCTTTCCGACATCAAAGATTGGGCTAAAGGGAGGGTGGACAATGTAAGATAGACATCAATAAAGTCGTGAAACACTTGGTGGGCCAAAAAGTCCAATTGGGTTCTTATGGCTCTGATCTTCCACTTGCCCACCTTAATTTGGTCGATTGAAAATGTTGGGTTCTCAAACAAACATTGAACACGTGGCACTGAATAACACTACCCAAAATTGGTGGGAGGCTGTCGATGTTATTGTGGGCCTAAGGGGTGAGATTTGACTTTTCAAAGGGCCCCACAGCCAGGCCTGGTGTTTTTCTTTACCTTCAGTATGAAGTAAAAGAAAATGTAGACTTTTACAAGGAGACCAAAGAGCACGTGATTGAGAGATTGTACTAGTATTGAGGAATACTTATCTACATGTCGTCATTCTTAAAATTGTTCCGCAAAAGGACGAGTCTGATACTTAATTATTACTGATATTAACGAACAACAATTCTAATAATATTGTGCGATTTATATTAGCTTAGTCTCGGTAATAGGAATAAAACAATAAGAACAATTTAGTTTCTATAATTCTATTGTTTAATTTTAACGATTTGATGCCGGCAATTGTTCGAATTGTTAATAATCAAGAACAACAAATTTAACTCCGCAGTGTTTTTTTTTTTTCTTTTTTTTTTAAAAAAAAAAACTCACTCCCCGTTGATAAAACAAAGTGAAAAACGAAAACATCGACATAGAAATCTCTTGTTCCAAACGTGCGTTAAACATCCTAAATTAGCGGTTAAGTCAATAACATGAACATCGATCAAGGAAGTTGCAAATATGAATAACACGTCGATGAGTTTGTTGACATCAAACGGCCACAAAGTGAGTGGTGCCGGTGAGCTTGTTGACATCGAATAGCCAGAAAGTGACTGGTCAATAAAATGAGGCTATCGGACACATGTATCAGGCAAAAATGAGCCACAAAGTCGGTAAGCCTTGACAAGAAGTTAATGGATACCTATAAATTCCAACCAGTAGTTGTACAGTAGCTATCACAAGTTAAGGAAAAATATGTCGACATCTCGGCAACAAAATGCTTCCATCAAAACCCACACCATGGACTAATTCAATCAACAAAATATAACCAGGAAGCTTCCGTCGGGTATTTTATTCAGAAAAGCAAAAGAAAAACGTCGTTAACTACACCAACCGATACAAGTTAAAATACTAAACTACCCACGACGCCTTAGTTACAGCAGAAACCCCAAACTCAGAATATAATCGGATGAAACGAAATGCATTTTAATTCCAATCACTCGAAATTCTGTTTTCAACTTTGCAAGCACAATACAAACAGAAAAGCAAAAGGAAAAGGATAAAAAAGGTGTAATTCATTAATATCCGTTTTGTCATGTTAGATGGTTAACGCGGTATAAAACTCCCAAACGGAGGTCCGATTTCATCCGTTTAGTTGTGAGAGCAACAATCATATCAGTACAGCAGGGAGTTGAATACTCATCATCTGGAGATGATCAGCCGGTTGAAAATCAACCACATACAGCAACCCACAATACTACATTCGCGTCAAGCATTTATCGCCCCACCTGCATACGCATAGAAAGTAGAAACCATAAAGAACATGCAAGTAATTCACACCAACTTATGATGCAGCACTTCTAGAAACAGAAACAAAGGCTGGCAGGCCAGAGTCTTGTTCAATGCACGACAGATGCTCAAGCGTAAAAGGAAACCACTGATAGATAAAAACGAAGTGAGCAGGCAAATGACCCTTTATATTACACGGGCACCCTACTGGATTTATAAATTAGCTTTTAACTGATAAATAAATGGATGGACAAAAGTTGGCAAACCGACCACATAACTGCCAGCAAAAATTATTTACATGCCACAGTTTTAGTTTTACCGTAACCAAGTAACCAACTAGTAAAACAAAAACTGTGTAAACCAAGTATTTGATTCTTACCTGCAGGATTACAGACCCCAAAAGTACGGGAGTTTGACCCTACATCAGGCTGCCGATAGCAAGACCAGTTATGAGTCAGTCCCATCCTTGAGTACAAGGTCGCAACACCACAGAGCCCTCAATTCCTCCACTTGACCATTCCCAAAGCCATGAAAAGCTATTATCTTGCATGATTACCTCC